CTCCACATCATGAACAACAGTTTAGAATGGGATCCTAATTACAATAAGTTATACTCCATGTATGTATGTGTCAAATACACTCTACTGTCATGTGTATCTAAAGAGAACAAATAAATTAATTTTTTAAAAAGGGATGGTGATATAGCTCAGAGGTAGACCACCTGCCTAGAAAATATGAGGCCTTGGGTTCCACCTCAAAACCATTACAAAAACAAAAAGCAACTATATAAAATGTCAGTTTGTGGCCAAGAACTAAAAACAATGTTTTTTATGATTAAAGACTTATGCTCATTATAGGAAAATATACGAACATGGAAAGAAAATAGGAAATTATTGATATTTCCCTCAGAAAAAGACAACCATGTAAACAATATCTATTTCTTACTAAATTTTTTCTATGTGCAAGTTAATTTTTTCACAGTTCTGCATTATAAGCAAAATTTAATATTCTTTCCCCGCACCTAACATTGCATCATGAGCATTATCATACAGGTATCGTTAAAAAATTTTTTTTTTTTTGTAGTGGAAGATGGACAGAATGCCTTTATTTGTTTATTTTTATGTGGTGCTAAGGATCAAACCCAGTGCCTCACACATGCTAGGCAAGTGCTCTGCCACTGAACTATAGCCCAGATCCACATATATCATTTTTAATAAAAAGTAAATACTTGGTTAATAGCCATCAAGACTTATCATCTTAGGAATCTTCAGTATTATTAAATTCATTTTTATCAAAATAAATTCCTTAAAGTTAAAATACTAATTATCAAATTTATTCACATACACTAAATTTTACTACCTTATATTTCTTTAAATAGGACAAATTTCAAAGGACCTTTTGAGGCAATATAATGTACTTTAGCCATGTTATTAAAATTGTGTATACCTGGAGGTTGTTACACACCACTTAGCTGTGACATTATTCTAACAATTTTCACAGAATGGCACTTACTCCAGCTAACAAAACCTTTCAACTGAGTAATGTTTGATAAAGTAGAAACAGCCCTGAATTTGGGGTCAAAAGTCCTCAGTTACATTTCAGCTGTAACTGTGTGAGCTGAGGTAACAAGAGTAAAGGTGAAAAAGCCCCAGATGCCTCTTTGGGGTTTCAGGCCAGAGACATACAATCCAGATCAATTCTATTTAATATGAAGAAACTTTTAAAACCAGAGACATTAAGTAAAAAAATATGAAATGTGCCCTGAAATGTCAAAAAACAAACAAAAAAAAATCCTCCCCAAAACCTATCAGCTCACTAGAAAAAGGAAAAATCAATGTTATTCAATAGAAAAAATTGCTGGGCACAGTGGTACACCCGTGTAATCCCAGTAATTTGGGAATCTGAGAAAGGAGGATCCCAAGTTCAAAGCCAGCCTCAGTGACTTAATGAGGCCTTAAGCAACTTAGCGAGATCCTGTCTCAAAATAAAAAGGTTTGGGGATGTAGCTCAGTGGTTAAGCACCTCTGGGTTCAATCCCTGGTACCAAAAACAAACAAACAACAACAACAAAACCCTAACCAAACAAACAAAATCCCCCAACATCTTACAATGTACAGGTCATCCCCCAGAACAAAAATTTATCCAGCCTAAAATGTCAAAAAGGCCAAGATTAAGAAAGCCTAGTTAAATATCTACTTGAGTATGCAGTCCTCATCAATTTGGCAATAAGACAATACTTGAAACAGAATAGAGTATAATTAATTAGATGTGTCACATAAACAATCCTGAAGTTTCGAAAAGAAGACAAATGCAGGCAACAGAATCAGAAAGCTTCCTGAAGAGAGCAGGATTACATTGTTGTTGTTGTTTGAATTTTTTAAATATTTATTTATTTTTTTTTTAGTTTTCGGCAGACACAACATCTTTGTTTGTATGTGGTGCTGAGGATCGAACCCGGGCCGCACGCATGCCAGGCGCGCACACTACCGCTTGAGCCACATCCCCAGCCCAAGGATTACATTGTTTTTAATAGCATGGAACTTGTATGGAAGAAAGAAAACTGTCTTGGGGAAGAATGGCACAAATAAATGAACAGAAGTGTGAATGAGATCCATTAGAGAAAAACAGTAAGAAGGCTAGTCTGGATGACAGAGTGAGCTGTAGACAAGAGGGAAAATTAAATGGATGAAAATGATACTGGCCTAACAGTTCCAGTTGATGTGTACAAGTAGGGAAATGATCTACATACCTAAGGTTCTTTCTCTATCAACATTCTATGATTCTACATCAGTGGGTCTCAACTCCTCCATGCATCCAAGTGATCTGAGATTTTTTTTTTAATTACAAATACTTGCAGGGTGTGGTGGTGCATGCCTGTAATGTTTAGCTGAGAAGGATCTCAAATTCAAGGCCAGCCTAAACAATTTAGGCCCTAGGCAGCTTAGTGAAGCCCTGCCTCAAAATAAAAAATTTAAAAGTCTGGGGATGTAACTCAGTGGTTAAGGCCCACGATTCAATCACTGGTACAAAAAAAAACTTTTAACAAATAAAATACTGATAAAAACACCATGTGAGAATAGCAGGACACAAAATGTGTCTATGTATATAGGACCGTATGAATGTATGTATGTATGTATGGATGGATGGATGGATGGATGGATGAATGAATGGATTTTATCTATCTATCTATCTACTGGTGCTGGGGGTTTATTTATTTATTTATTTATGCATGGGATTTTGAACCCAGGGCCTTGTGCAATGCGAGGCAGGCACCTTATCAACTGAGTCCCCAGCTCTAGGACCTCATTTTTTTAAAAAATAAAGATTACAAAGAAACCTAGATTCAAAGTGTTAGTATTGGTTATCTCTAGGTTCTAGGATTATGAGTAACTTTATTTTGTTGTTAAAAATGTTCACAAAACAGAAGCATTACTTCAATAATTGGGGGTTGGTCTATTCTACTGATATAAGTCAAGAAGAAACAGCAATTTATTCTAGGGCTGGAGATATTTAAATTTAAAAAGATGCCCATTAATTAATATTTATGAATACTTCTTGACTCATAATTTAAAACAAAGATCAAGATCACTAAAACCGGGGCTGGGGATGTGGCTCAAGCGGTAGCGCGCTCGCCTGGTATGCGTGCGGCCCGGGTTCGATCCTCAGCACCACATACCAACAAAGATGTTGTGTCCGCCGAGAACTAAAATAAATAAATAAATTTAAAAAAAAAAAAAAAAAGATCACTAAAACCTTTTAAACAGTGATGAATGTAATGTAACGTAACAACTACATCTAAGGAACAAATCAGAGTTACTGTAAAAAGATTTCGTATAAACTCTTTAGGAGGACAGTTTATTTCTATGAACTAATTAGGTTTGGATCTGAAAACACACTGAAAATCTCGGACAAAGTTGACAGAGCACTAAGCCAAGTTCTACCCGGAAACTGGTGATTGCCTCCTTGGAGCCATGGAGAAGCCTGTCAGTGTAAAACAAACAAATAAACCAAAAAAACCTGCCTACTTAGTGGCAAAAATAAGTAATAACAAGGATGAAAGGACTGTAGTGATTTATGTTTGGAAAGATGGACAAAAATATCTGGAAAAACAGTTACAGGAAAGTGGCTTAAGATGAAAGGTGGGATCTTTATTGCAAACTTTTAAATATTGCAAACTCTTATAGGTCGAGAAGAAACAGCAACATGTCTTGCACAGATTAGCCAGTAGTGGGTACCGGACAAATATTTCAAATATTGCATCCTTTTGCTACTGAGCAAACTCAAATTCATTGAGACCGTGTGTACCAATTTTTAATTATGAAATATGCATGCTGGGCTGAGAATGTAGCTGAGTGGCAGAGCCTTGCCTAGCATGTATGAGGTACTTCTGGATGCTGGGGGGGGGGGGGGGGGGGGGGGGGGGAAGGATGTGTATCTCCACCAGTGGTTAGAAATGTGAAATACCACAACCACCACGTCCTGACCACATAAGTCCAAGTAAACCTAACTACGTATATGATGCAGGTATGGGCATAATTCCACTGCACATTCCTGGCACCACTCGGCTCGGTTCGGGGTTGCCAATGCAGGGAAGAGTTATTATTCTATGACCCTCTCCAGCTCGTGGGAGACGCGGCACTCAGTCCTAGTTAACCTACACGCGCTCTACAAACCAAGTCTGCCCCTAGAGGCCCGAACTGTGGCAGTGCGGGGACTTGGCAATCGCCGGCGAGTGTGGGCACTTTAAAATAATAAAAATATACAAGTTCTCAAGAGCTTTTCCCATCTGGAGTAAGGAATGTTCCTGGATGGAGAGAACTTTTAGAATACTAGGATGTTTCAAAGCCTACTTTAACCAAAGTGTAAGATGTGGACTAAGTTAACCTCGGGGCAGCAGAGACTGCCCGGACCTGCCCTGCTCTCGAGGCGCCGTCACTCCGGCCTAGCGCGACTCGGCAATGTTCAGGAGACCGCCGGGACCCGGCTGAAAGAAAAGAACTCAGCGGCCGCCCCGTTCCGGGAAGGCCTCGGCCACGTCCGATCCCAGGTTACCCTTCTGGTGTCCCGGGGTCGGCGCGTTACCTGCAGCAGGTGCAGCTGAGCCACGAGACGCCGCGGTAAATGGAGAAAGCAGTCGCGAGCGTTGGTGAAGGCCACCGTCACGGCCGCCCCTGCAGCACCAGCGCCGGCTTGACGATCGCTGCCCCACATCTTCCAAAACCACTACTCCAGGACCGCCCACCCTGGCGCGGCGTCTGAACCCTACCCCGGGCAGGCCGAGGGCGTTGGAGCCCGAGAAGATCGATCGGCTCCGCCCCCAACGGCTTCACTCCCTCTCCCGAGGTGAGTCTCACCTGCGCGCCTGAAGCGGGCAGGACCAACAAGCTTCTGTCACTCTCTGAACTTCTCCGCCGAGCCGCTTGGGGGCGGCACCTCGTTCACCAAATTCTCGTTTTCAGGAAACGATGGCCGACGCTGTCGATTCTCCAGCCAATCCTGGCCATGCTTCGACTCATCCCGCTCTCTTATTGGATAAACGGGAGCTCCCTAAGAGGGATGTTGTCCTCACTGCAATGACCAAAGCAGGCAAGATGGCGTCGAGTGATGGGAAGCTTGGGAGTTTATTCGACCACCACGTCCAGAGGGTGGTTTGCGACACGCGGGCCAAATATCGGGAGGGTAGACGGCCTCGCGCTGTCAAGGTAAAATGATTTCGCTTTCATTCGCTATCTTGGGTAGCTTTATGTGAGCACGCGCTCCACGCAGCCAGCCTACTTAAATAAAGGTATAAAAGGCTCCTGTCAGATCCATCTCTCATTGGAAGGGGAATGAGGAACTCTGGCTTGGAGACCAAAGATTATTACCACCCATTTGGTTAACTTTAGGACGTCAGTTCTCCAGAAGAGGGATTTGTTTTAGTTCTTGTATCTTCCGTGTTTACGTGAGTGCTTGTTAAACACTCAATGACTATTCGTTTTAGTGACTAGTCCCAGTAACTTCTACTGAGAGAACTTACAGAAATGATGACTTAAATCATATGCATGTACGAATATGTCACAGTGAATCCTACTATTAAGCATAATTATGCACAAATAAAAATATTATAAAAATGTCGACTCAGAGCAGTCTGTTATGTGCTTTAGTTAGATACCTTCACATGTGAAGTGTGTTATTCTTTATGCAGAGAGAATGGCAAATTTTAAAATTAATTTTGTATGTTTTTTGCAGACAAGGACTGACCAAAGTGTTTCTTTTCAAATTCTGTTTTGTTTTGTTTTTTTTTTTTTTAAGGGGAGATTTTCTTAGTCTTATTTGTGAAATACACTTCATAACTCTATTTATTTTAGGTGTATACAATCAATTTGGAATCTCGGTACTTATTAATACAAGGAGTTCCTGCAGTGGGAGCAATGAAGGAATTAGTTGAGCGACTTGCTCTATATGGTGCAATTGAAGAATATAATGCTCTAGATGAATATCCAGCAGAAGATTTTACAGAAGTTTACCTTATTAAATTTATGAATTTACAAAGTGCAAGGTAAAGTGTAAGCAGCATCTTATATCCTTTGACCCTGTTACTATCATTTTTGTCCCAGGTTTCTATAGTTAAAATACTTGAGTTACCCCCAAAATTTAATATGGCAACATTCTCATCTTTTCTGCAGTAATTCCCCTCCCTTACCCCCAGGGATGGAGTCTAACCTAGGGCTGTACTTATACTCAGCAGGTGCTCAACCACTGAGCCACATCCCCATCACTTCCTGACATCTTTGTAAAGGTTAATCTTATCAAAATACTATTTACATCCCCTCATTCCCATGCTCAACAACTTTCAGTCCTGTGATATGATTAAAAACTGAATTTGGGTAAGTTTTCCAGTCATACTGCTCACTATCTTGTTACTTTGTATAAGTTATTTAATCCTGGTAAGCCCACTTTTTTCTCTTCTTAAAATCCATGTAGTCAAAAGACCACTTATTGAGCTTGCATGAGGATGATATAATTCATGAAAAGGACTTGGAGTAGTGCCTTTCTGCTCAGAATGCAGTAAACTTTACTTTTTATTATTATATTATTATGGCCTTATTATTATTTTTGGCCTTCTGTGAATTAATCCCATCTTTTGGGATTTCTATGAAACAAAAACCTGTTCCATTGGGCTGAAGTAGGCAATATCTTATGTATTTTTAGTTTAACCCCTTTTCTTGTCATTAATCTGATCAAAGATCCATCCTTCCTTTGCTGTTGCCATTTATATTTCTTTTTTTTTTTAAATATCTTTTTTGTTTGTTTGTTTTTATGTGATGCTGAGGATTGAACCCAGCACCTCACACATGTGAGGCAAGTGCTCTACCACTGAGCTACAGCCCCAGCCCACCATTTATATTCCTTTTCTGGGCTACCAGTAAACCTCACAGTTGACCCCAAAAGTAGTTAATTTTGTGGTTATATGTCATTTTTAAGCTGCTCTTATATGTAATCTCACTTTTCAAAAATTAACTTGCTGATTCTGTGGAGTTAGGGAAGCATGTTTTCTAAAGTTTTTCTATCTCTCACATCACCTAGTATAGTAGGTTCTAGAACAAGACATCTGGATTTGAATCCAGCTCCAGAAATTAGTATATGAATGTGGCCAAGTTATATAACATCCCAGTTCTTCACTTTGGTTGCTGTGAGATGTTAACTGAAGTGAGGTACCTATGACATTGCCTAGTATGGGGTTAAATCTCAATATAACACTTATCATTATTTCTAGTTACAGAAGTACTTAAATAATTACTATAATGCTTGGCCAGTCATAGATTTTCAATAAGTTATCTATTTAATGAATTCCATTCTCCTTTGTTTTCATTTGATTAGTTGTTATGTATTCACAACTTTCTCATTTATCAAGTTTTACAATTACAGTATTTTAACTTAATGTTTTATGTAGATGGACATAATACCTTTATTTTTATGTGGTGCTGAGGATCAAAACCTTTTAATACCACTGAAAGAGGGAAAGGAAGACTTTAGAGTGCATCCTAGATCAGTAGGGTTGGAACCATCTACAAATAGAGCATTTTAATTCCCAATCCATAGGATATACACACATGTACACTTAGCAAAAGGTAGACTTTGCTCCTTAGATTGATGTATTTTATATTAGTTAAGCGATCATCCTATGTTAATCCAGATTAATTAGCCATGTTATGTATTTCTGTTTAGGATAGCCAAGAGAAAAATGGATGAACAGAGTTTCTTTGGTGGATTGCTTCATGTGTGCTATGCTCCAGAATTTGAGACAGTTGAAGAAACCAGAAAAAAATTAGAAGAGAGAAAGGCTTACATAGCAAGAACTACTAAAAATAAAGGTATGAAAAGCCTGTTATTAAACACCTCCTATGTGTTAGGTGGGCACTCTTCTAAGTATGCCAACATTGAGTTCCCAGTCTAGGGTAAGTAAAGGATCATATTTATTAACTATAAATCAGTGTTCTCTGCAGCACTGTGCATAATCTGGCCTAGAAAGGGAGAGATGTTTGTTCATAGCAGATTTCCTACAAGTATATAAGAAGTGGTTGCATTTTGAAGGCTAACACTACCCATAAGGGAAGAGGAAGAGATGGAAAAGTGAGCCAGGCAACACGTTTAGAACCTTAGAGGAGCTGGGTGTGGTGGCACGTGCCTGTAATCCCGGTGACTCAAAAGGCTGATGCAGGAGGATCGAGAAGTTCAAAACCAGCCTTGGCAACTTAGCAAGGCCCTAAGCAATTTAGTGAGGCCCTATCTTAAGATCAAAAACATAAAAAGAGATGGGGCTAGGGAACTGTTGAGAATTCTTGGTCAATTTTAGATATAAAAATGACCCTTAACTTGTGGATTATACACAGGAGAATTTATGTGTATGGAAAAGGAAATTACAGAATATTAGTGTAAAGAGAAAGACCTTTGTTCTCATTTTTATAGGTGAGGAAAGTAAAGCTCAGAAAGTTTATGACTGGTTTATCTCGCTAGAGATAAAATAGGGACAAAAGAGCAATTAAGACCCATCTTTGGATTCTCTAGAGCTCACTTCTAAATTGCTTTATACGTTACAGTATTGGTGTTAGTAGCCTAACTTTGTCTTTCTTTCCTCCCAGCTTCCTTTAAGACTTTTTAGCCCTGCCCCTGACTTCAGAATTACGCTGAATTTGGCTCCATCTGAGTGGCAGAGTGATACAGTGGTTTTTTTTTTTTTAGTATTTATTTTTTAGTTATAGGTGAACACAATATCTTTATTTTTATGTGGTGCTGAGGATCGAACCCAGTGCCTCACGCATGGTAGGCAAGTGCTCTATCTCTGAGCCACAACCCCAGCCCAATATAGCATTTTTATGACTTATTTGGCCCTAAACAAAAATAAGCCCTTTCATTTGTAGGATTCTAGCATCTACATGGTACATTTGTATAATTGGTCTCTCTTTTTAAAACGCTTTTGTTATGGAAAATTTAAAATATTCAAAGGTAGAGAGATGTGAGATAATGTACCTCACGAGTATTAATGTCAACAATTGTCAATTTCATCTTTACCACACTTCTCACATTGCACTTTGGAGGTGTGGAGGGTAGAATGGGCAGGAGACTTATATAGGCCCTAAAAGTGGGCCTAGCATATCATTTGCTTTAATACTGACAAACAAAAACTAAGCAGCACAATAATGTCTATGTAGTAGAATATTCTGAAGTTAATAAAAAAAAAACTTTCTATATGGTAACATGGAAGAACTCTGTAAGATCTACAGCTAAGAAGAAAATGCAAAGGTACAAAGAAATGGGTATTAGAAATTACCTTTTGAGTGGGGAGAGAAAGAAGGGTAGATGGGAGGAGGAAAAGTAAGACATTCTGATAAATAAGGAAGAATAGTGAATACATATGGTAACTAGAAAACTAAGCATATAGGAAAGCAAGGAAAATATGAAGCTTGACACTTTATACCTTTTTGCTTCTTAAAAAAGCCTTTTTAATGATACAAATATAAGACATTTTGGAGAAGAATCTATTAACATTTTTAAGTTTTTAAAATTATATGATTCTGAGTGATAAAAACAATAAATGAACCATTTCTATTTTCCTTTCCCTCAACTTTTACATTTATAGAGTATTACTTGACAAAGAAGAAACTGGTTCCAGAGCATAAAAACACACGAGATTTTAGACAAGACTTAAACTCGGACATGTCTGGATTTTGTGCAGCTGCTTCGAATGCTTCCAATGGGAACTCAAATCCTTGTCTTCCTTATTCTTGTGAATTGCCTTTATGTTATTTTGCTTCAAACTGTACTTGTTCATCTGGGGAGCATGTGAATAAAGCATCGAACTTCTATAAGGATGGTAGGAACCATAATGAAACAGTGAAGCATTGTAACCACAGTGACTCTTTGCAAAATATGAACACTTTCAAAAATTCAGTACCTTACTCTGGTACACAGAAGGCTCTAATTCCTCCTTCAGGGTCAATTGACAGGTTTATGCCTAGGACAACAAAACTGCAGGAGCGGAAAAGAAGAAGGGAAGATGATCGTAAACTTGGAACTTTTCTTGAAACAAACAGTAATGAGGTTATGATTGGACCCAAGTTACCAGACATACCTAAAGTGGACCTTCAGGATGACTCTCTGAATACAACGGCGAACTTAATTCGGAATAAACTTAAAGAGGTAGGGACATTTTTAAAAACTGTTTTTTCTTGTTTTTAATATTTATTTTTTAGTTATAGTTGGACACAATACCTTTATTTATTTATTTATTTATTTGTATTTGGTGCCAAGGATCGAACCCAGGGCGTTGCACATGCTAGGTGAGCACTCTACTGCTGAGCCACAACCCCAGCCCTAAAAACTGTTTTAAGAATTTGGTTATAGGGGGCTGGGGTTGTGGCTCAGCGGCAGAGCGCTCGCCTAGCATGTGCCAGGCGCTGGGTTCAATCCTCAGTGCACACAAACACACACACACACAAATAAATAAATAAATCCAACTGCATTTAAAAAATATTTTTAAAAAAGAATTTGGTTATAGGACTAAGAACTAAATGGAAAATAATTTGTGGGATCTATTGAATTGGAATTGGCTTTTTTTTCTTTTCAGTTTTTAGTTTTCGATGTGTTTTTTTACAGTTCTGTGTTAAATTCACTGAATTTGACTAGCATATGTATTTGCTTTGATAGTAATTCTTCCTTTAAACGGTGAACAGACATATTTTACATCACACTGTAAATACAAAATACTATAATTAGTCTGTGATAGTGGATTGCAGCCCCTGCTCCACCTTTTAAAGCTCCCCAGATAGTCTTAATATGAACCAAAATTGAGCAAGAAAATTATTAGAAATTATTTCTTAAATTCAGAGTTACTACAGCTTACGTCAAATTCAAAGTATTTTGCTTCTGTAATAAACAGCACCTTTTTGTTGTGGTGGTGCTGGGAGTCAGATTCACAGGCCTTGCCCATGTGAGGCAAGAGCTCTACTGCTGAGCTATGCCCCCAAGTCCAGAAGGTGAAAATTCTAAACGATTGTGTCTTTAGACTGCCTTAAGTTCTGCATTTCTTTTCCTCATATTTTAAAAAATGTTTTTTACGTGACAGAGTATGTTTCGAAATATATATACATAGAATAAGTATAACTTGTTTCAATTAGGGTTTAAGATCTGCATTTTAAATGTGAACTTCTTAAAAGATTACAACTAGGCTGGGGATGTGGCTCAAGCGGTAGCGCGCTTGCCTGGCATGCGTGCGGCCCAGGTTCGATCCTCAGCACCACATACAAACAAAGATGTTGTGTCCACCGAAGACTAAAAAATAAATATTAAAAAATAAATAAATAAATAAAAATAAAAGATTACAACTAAAATCAGATTGTGCTATAAGGTGGTCTTTTATTTAAATAATAATTTTCAATTTTTAAGGCACAAATAAAAGAAAATTAACATGTGAATTAGCTAAACACACACACACAATAATTTAGATGGATACAGTACATTTATTTATTTGTTTGTTTATTTATTTATTTATTTATTTATTTATATGTGGTGCTGAGGATCATACCCAGTGCCTCATGCATGCTGGACAAGCACTCTACCACTGAGCCACAACCCTAGCCCTGAATTTTCTATTTCAAGTGAAAATTGCTTTACTCTGTTTTTGACTTATTGCCCCCACTTTTTCTGATGTGTTTGGTGTTCATTTTTCCTCTAGGAAATTGAGAATGATACCATTTTCTTCTTATTTTTTCAAAATTTTCATTCTCCCAAGCATCCATGTCTCTAAATCTATGAGACATTATCAGTGTTTCAAGAAGGCAAAATCAGGATTATCTATCTGTATCTGTAAAATAACAAATGACTTTAGATCAATAAAAGAATGTTAAAGGAAAGTGTATGTTCACTTTATCTTTTTTTTTTTTTTTTTCCAGTCCTTGATATTGAACACAGGGCTTCACCCATGCTAGGCAAATGCTTTATACCCCAGCCCTGCCTCCAAATCTTTTCTTGATAAATGGCTTAGAAAACTTTACTCCCACTAATGTTTGGAGTGAAAACTTAAGTGTCTAGGTTGTAGGTTGTACCTCCTACCTTAAACTTGAGCTAACTCTACCTCAAAAGTGATGGTAAGGTCAGGCACAGTGGCGCATGCCTGTAATTCCAGTGGCTCTGGACACTGAGGCAGGAGAATTTTAAGTTTAAAGCCAGCCTCAGCAATGGTGAGATGCTAAGCAACTCAGTGAGATTCTGTCTCTAAATAAAATACAAAACAGGAGTGGGGATGTGGCTCAATGGTCAAGTGCACCTGAGTTCAATCTGCAGTACTAAAAAAAAAAAAAAAAAAGTGATGGTAAGGATTGTTGTATGTCCAGCCTCTCCTAGCAACTTATTTACACTTATTACTACATACTAAGTTTTAATGGTTCTTTTTTCTTTTTAAACTAGGTAATTTCATCTGTGCCAAAGCCTCCAGAAGATAAGTTGGAAGATGTGCCTGCAAGTCGTCCATTAAAACAAAGAAGAAGAATATAAATTGCCAGCAGCAATTTAGTATTTTCTAAAGAGAATATTTATTTTATTTTTAGTCTTTTAATTCTTTAAAAAGTTTTATTGCTGGTATTTTTTAATGTACACTTTTTTGTTATTTCATTCAAACTATTATCCAAATACAGTTTCATCTTTGACATATACTTAATATTGCAAAAATGTATCTTTCCTATAACATTCTCATGTTACAATAACCATATGTAAATCAATTGAAGCAAATATGGTAACTTTATAATACAAATAAAGTTAAGCAACCAGGATCTGTCTCTGATTTTAATTTAAGTATTGACTTATTCACTTATTGAAAAACTAGAAGTCAGCGTATCTCTGAATGTCAGTGCTTCAAAATGAAGGCAATTCTGTAAAGTAAAAAGGTTAACAGAAATTAGAACAAAGTTGAAATTAGAAGTTTACACTGTAGTTAGCTTTTAAGAATTTACTTAATCTGTGGCAATCAAAAAACAAATCCGGGGGTGGGGGTCTGGGATTGTGGCTCAGCGGTAGAGCGCTCGCCTAGCACAGGCGGGACCCGGGTTCGATCCTCAGCATCACATAAAAATAAAGGCATTGTGTTATGTCCATCTACACCTAAAATAATGATTTTTTTAAATTATTTTTTTAATAGTAAGGTGCTTTGACTCTCCATCTCAGGATCTTGCCAAATTGCAAGTTCTTATGGTGGTGGGGAGGGAAAATGGGGAGTTGTTTAATGAGTATAGAATTTCAGTTTTGCAAGATGGAAAGAATTATGGAGATTGATGGTATGACTTTGTGTACATACTCGACACTACTGAACTGTACACTTAAAAATGGTTAAGGGCTAGGGATTTAGCTCAGTTAGTAGAGTGCTTCCCTCACATGCATAAGTCCCTGGGTTCAATACCCAGCACTACAGAAAAAAAAAGAGGGCTGGGATTGTAGCTCAGCGGTAGAGTGTTTGCCTAGCATGTTGAGACACTGGGTTCAATCCTCAGCACCGCATAAAAATAAATAAAGGTAGTGTGTCCATTTATAACTAAAAAAATTTTTTTAAATGGTTAAGAGGGTAAGTTTTCTGTTGAGTGTATTTTGCTACAATCTGAAGAATTTCCTAAAGGGAGGAGCCATTAAGATAGATTCTCTGTTCTTGAGTAGGTCCTTGTGACTGTAAAGAGTCCAGCTGTGTCCCCATTTCACCAACATACATAATATTTGACCATGATGATAAAGAAAGCTTTCTTGTGTCAAGTGAGGGTTGAGGAGAATAGATTCTGATTCAGTTAGTTTTGGGTGGGGGCTGAAATTCTTCATTTTTCACAAGTTCTCAGGAAATACTATTGCTAGAACAGAGAAGGCTCTAGATAACTGTGAAAGATAAACTCTTGGGGAGAGGCTGAAGAATGTTGGGTGTTCGATATCCTAAGTTGTTACTCCAATCCAGTCCATTTATGCTATTGCTCTTTTCACCTATCAGTCTCTTAAAATTGGAAACTTACCTTTTACACATGGCTTTTTTTCTACACATTTCCAGACAGAACTAAAATTTGGGGTCTAGGAAATAAACTACAGTAGGACAAATAAGAGAAAGGAGCTTAGATGGATAAGAATAATTTAGCAACATGCAAGTTAATTTGCAAAATCACCCTATAAGTTATTACAGAAAATAAGAGTTACTTCCTACATTATGTTTGAAAAGTATAATTGATCAAAGGAAGAATAAGGAAATTTTATGAGCCAAATCAATTACTGGGTTGATCTTTCAGCTCAGAAAATTTGTCAGATTCATACATGAAAATTCTTCTTGAGCACAAATAAAATGGGATGGGGCCACTTTATTTATGATTGTCTGAACTTCAGCAACGGGCTACAGCTACAGAGATCAGAGTCTAGCAAGTACTAATTTCTGACCCTGTTAAAATGTTCCCTCAAGCTAGGCATGGTAGCACACACATAAAATCCCAGCTGTTTGTTTGGCTGAGGCAGGGGGATTATAAATTCCTGAACAACTTAGTGAGACCCTGTCTCAAAATAAAAAGGACTGGGGATGTAGGCTCGGAGCTAGAGAATTTGCCTGAAGGTGCTGGGTTCAATCCCTAGTACTATAAATAAACAAACAGATAAATCAGACTGGGGATATAGCTCAGTGTTTGCCTAGAATGTATGAGCCTTGGATTTGATCCCCAGTATCTTACACACACACATACACACAAAAGTTCCCTCATCAAATTGAGCTTTTGGCATTTGTAATATACCTGTGCTGTTGGCAAACATGGTCCAAACACCTCCAACAGAAGTCTGTCTTCTCTCACTGCTTTTTCAAAGTCTGCAAAAGATACCTTGCCATCGTTGTCATAATCCTAGACAGGAAGATGATTTCTTGATAAGTGATATAGAGCCATTTTACATTTTGCCATGGAAAACAGCTGTTTAGACTAAAAGGTTCACCAAGTAAAGCTGTAAATTCACACTTTTGAAGACATTATTTACCTAAATCAGAAGGTACATATTATTTATGGATACCACTTAATTTTATTCCTATTATTCTAATAGGCATATCCAAGTCACCTTAGCAATATAAAATTTAGCCTTATCCTTAAAATTACACTTGAATTGGGGAAATAAGAAAAAATAGAAGAATTCTATTATTTTACTCCTTTTGTGATGAAATAGGTGAAGCAGAGCAGATTTTTCAAGCTTAATTTTTTTTTTGTAGCACTTGTTCCTCAAAAGATCTCTTAGTTGGGAGCCTATTGGGTAAAAAGGATAGAAGTGAAGTTGCTTTGTTATGGATCAGGTCACCAGGAGTTACAGCAGTAGCTGCTCAGGATAGACTGGAGTCATGAGATGAAGCCTGCAGATCACTGCTGGGTTTAAGGATGGTTGAAATCTGGATAGGTAGAGGAGCCACCTGAATTGACAGCAGGGTATAAGTCAGTAAAGCTTTCATGACAAGGCTTAGGATATATTACTATATTGTGCAGGTAGGGAAAATAAGGAGAACTTGTGTGTAGATTATGGATGCCTTTAACTGATTAATTGAGTTGGGTCAGATGAGATGAGTCCTTGTTTTTTCACTTCTGGGCATGACTTCATCAGGGTTGCTGAGAGTTTTTAGTTGTAGATGAACACAACACCTTTATTTCATTTATTTATTTTTATGTGCTGCTGAGGGTCAAACCCAGTGCCTCACACATGTGAGGCAAGTGCTCTACAACTGAGCTACAATTCCAGCCTGGAGTCTTAATCTAGAGAAAAATTTGAATACATTGTCAAAAAAAAAAAGTTTATTGCAAAAACACTTCCTTGGAAAAAAGAAGGGGATGGGTGGTGCTGGGGAAGCTACTGTCTCTGAAGAAGTAATCTACACTCAGCCCTTGCAGCAGATTCAGAGTATTTCTGAAAGAAGAGGATACTCTGAAGTTTGCCTTAATGGAATCCTTGGTTGCTTTCCTGAGTTTCAGAGTAATGTCAGTGGCATGGGCCAGTGCTGCCTTGGATTCACAAAACCTTACTGTATCCAGTTTAGGGTGACAGTAAGAAAAGCGTAGAAGTCAGTATGTCCATAGAAAAGAGCTACTATTGGTTTTAGTGAAAGATAAATTTTGTACAAGGTTTTCTAATGTGACATTAGGTAAACCTTTTTATACTTCAGTTTTTGTCATCTGCAAATGGAGATAGGATTATTTTGAGGATAAAATGAATCAATACATTAAAGTTCTCTGGAGAGTCTGGCATATATAGCAGGTATTCTGTAAAGGTCAAATATTTTTATTTTTGTTATTGTAATGAATACTTCGATGGATTGTAGGGGAGAGGTCATGAAGACAAAATAAAGTGGACCCAATTTTACATGAACTGAATCTGGCCTCCCCCTAAATTAATGAGGTTTTACTAATAGTAAAATATTTTAAGGAATAAAGTTCATATTTATGGGCTGGGATTGTAGCTCAGTGGTTGAGTGCTTGCTGCGCATGCGTGAAGCACTGGGTTTGATCCTCAGCACCACATAAAAAATAAATAAATAAAACAAAGTGTGGGAGGCCAAACTAGCACGTGACCGCATTTGTCTCCTCTTCTGATTGGTTTGGCATCTCGGTTACTCTGTGATCTGGTTGCCTACGTAAGCCAGACAGTAGCCCCGATCTTAAAGGTCCAGTTACTGTGTCTCATTCATGAGCGTGCCTTCCTACATCCCCATGGCGTGGAGCTATGCTCACCTGTTCCTTTATAATATTACCCCTTGTCCTGTTTGGGTTGGAATGTTCCATGGAAACGCCCTTTTTCCCCTTCTCTTACTCTGCCCTTGGGTGTGGCCCTTCCTAGATGTCAGTCAACCTGCCGACAGTGGACATCATGAAGATAGACTCAGCCCTCTGAAATCTGACCCCTTGTCTCATTTGAATAGCTTCTCCTCAATAAAAGGGGTCAGCACATACTCGCTCTCTCTTTCTGCGGACCCTTAAGGTCAGAGGAGCCATCACAGCACACCCCGCCCCACAAAAAAAAAGTATTTCTGTCTCTTGTGTGGTTATTTCACGCAGCCCAGTTCTCCTCCTGGAGTGACCCCTGAGTGTTTTAGTGGCATGTAACTAGGCAAATGGCGTCCCTGGTGGGCGAAAGGTTTGAGTGTTTAAGTCGCTGGGAAAGCGACAACAAAGATTTAGTGTCCATCTACAATTAAAAAAAAAAAAATTTAAGTTAATATTTAGGACTGGGGTTGTGGCTTAGTGGTAGAATGCTTTCATTCCATCTCTGCTCATCTATCAGCCAGACACTTTTAGATGAGCAGAGATGGAATCATGAGATGAATAGAGCAGAGAATAAACAAAAAGACCTGACGTTCATCAATATAATTTAAGGAAATTAAATTTCTTAAGGTTTATGCAACATCATCTTGATTGAATATATGCATTACAGTTTTTCAGTCTTACCATTTTCTTCAGTGCTATCTCTACCAATTCTTTTACTCCTTCATCATTCTCTTCTTCAGATGATTGTTGATACAGACTGTTCTTCAACATGTTGAATATTTCCTCTCGAGAAATGTAACCATCTCCATTCAAATAATAAACTTCAAAACAGACTTTTTAAAACATAAGAAGTTTAAAGACTTGGATGAGAACCGTTAAATGTCATTAGTCTTCTCCTTAATTATTTCAACATAAGATACCAAAAGAGAAAAACAATTTATCTGCCATATTATTACTGATAGTAATATGGTAGGAAGTTATGTGGTAGGAAGATTTTAGAATAAAGAATCTTTGTTACATGTCTTTAGATA